GTATATTTGGAAAATATATTTAAACATCTTATGGCAATTCAAAGATTAGATTATGATAAAAATAATCTTAATTTAGTAACAAAATTTTATTAAATGATCAGAAATGTTAGAATATAATAAATCGTAACTAAAATTTTTGAATTACATAAATTTTGAATATATGTAAATCTGTAATTATTTTTCCTAAAAGTACAGATAATCCAATTTCTTAAAGAAATTTCACGTGTTGAGGTAAATGATCTGAAAATTTGGAAAAGTAAAAAACTAAAATAAGAATTAAAAATAATATTTATAGTTAACTTTTATTCTAAAATCGATCATAAGAAAAATGGCATATGTCTTTCCTAAAGTTAATTGATATCATTTATTGGCTACAAGAGATTTATCTGTATTTGCGGAATTACCAATTCAAGAATTTATGTTAACTCTGTCCCCTCAATATTATATCCCGTAAATCAAGTCGCATTTCAATATCTTGGACTATTTAAAGTTTGAATAATTCACTTTTTATTTATGTGGAATTGACTTACAATATATAGTGATACAGTTTTTAGATATTATAGCAACCAATTTAACTTATGTAGAAGTATATTATTTATTTGAAAAATTTTGTGTTTTTCATATTTAGTACAGGATTAAATTTAAATAATTATAAATTTTTGGATATGTTATTTCAGTTTCTTTTTATATAAATAAGTAAGCGAAATTAATAATTGTTATTAGATATAACTAATAGTTATAAAGACAAGAAATCAAATCAAACTAAAAAGAATATTGTTATAATCTCTATATAGCTTTAGAGACAGCAATTTATCAGGTGATCTATTTATTTTCTTTGTTCTATCTCTCCAAATAACACCCTGATTGTTTTACACTTACTTTAACAAATAGCTTAAGTCAATATTTTTACATAGACAGATAATAGAAAATAATTAGATTTTAAATTTTCTGTGGATGCTGATTGATAATATCAATTTGGATATCAAAAATCATTTAAGTAGAATAGTACAATTAATACATTATTAATAAACTATCTTGAGGTTAATAATTAAGTAGGTCAACACCATGTTTAAAAATAATATGATAAATCTTATAATTAGATTCATAATAATCTCCAAGATATGATAGTTTTTTAATTTAACAACAAATTTATTAAATAAATTTTCATTATAGTTTTCACCTTAAGTAATTTAATATTTTAAATTAGAATGGTGTAAAAAAAAAGTGATTAACTAAGAAATAAATTTTAGCAATACTTTTTGAGCTTTAAATTTATGAAATATGACATCTGTACTAACTTTCTTAAGATTAATGAGATTTTAGAATCTACAATTTTAAAAAACTCTTCAAAAACACACCTTCAAAATATCAGATCTATTCTTTTCCTCAGTTTCTATAGCAGCCATATTTTCTAATTAGAGATCTATAAATCTTAGTAGGATGATTTTAGTAATTGCATCATCTAAAATGATCTGAATATTTTGCTGTCCATACTAATTTGATTATATTGAAGAATGCAAATATAGTATAAAAAAGATTTTGAAATGAGTAAAAAGCATCAAAAAAATGATATATACTGAAGTATTTCTTAATCAATATTATAAAAATTAATTTAAAAGGCTTCTACTAATTTTAAAATATCTGGAATTTATAACTTATAAATCTTTTATATTTAGAGCATATTCTAAATTTGTACTAACTAATCATTGTATTTATAAATTATATAAGTTCTCTTAGAAATTTATGAATATAATAAATTGATTTACATTAGAATTATAAATAATGTATTGAACCTGAGGAAAAATGTATATTATTTAATATTATTAAATAAGATGAAATTGTAATTTCTATATAAAATGAATTTGAAACTAAATAAACATTTTTATACTAGAAATTTAGATTGTTTCAATTTAATTTAAAAATTTTTAAATCTATATTTTTAGATACTACTTTCTAGTATAAGCAAGACACTTAATATTTTAGAAAAATTGTATCGGTTTATTGGCAAATTTCAATTTATAATTAGCTTTAGGATGATTAAAATTTTTCATTTATCTAAACGAAATGTAATGAAATTTTAAATATCTACTTATTATAAAAGTTAATTAGTTAAACTACTAAATGAGAAATTTTTGATAAGAAGTGTCGATATATTGGAGTCAGGAATATATTTTGATTAATGGTGAAATTCTGTCAAAGTTTAATAGATTCCTATGGGCCAAAATTACTCATTTTCACAATTCAAAATATATCAATATACACTATTAAAGTGTAGAGATATTATTTGGAAAAGTTATGTATCATTCTAAATCCTGATGAAATCATTTTAATTCTAAGAATTACCAAGGCAATTGTTTGAACATAAAGCATGATGAATTATAATCATAGTAGATGACTTCTTAATTTTCACAATAAATTAGATTTTATGTACTTAAAATATAGCACACTCATAAAATTTGATTAAATATCAGTATATTAAAA